CTGTGCTACATAAAATGTCCAATGTCTGGCGTTTATTTTACTGGAAACCCCGAGGAAATGTACACGGGTGGAGGCTTGCTGAATTCTGTCAAGGAGGAGATATGACGGAGCGGGACACTTGTTGAAAGACGCTCGCTCGCTGTCAGTACCCATCGGTTTACCTCCGCCGAAATGGCGGTGGTGATGGAAAACAAGCACTCTCTTCAAAGGCCATTAAAAATGAATGAGGAGATTGAACGGGTCACGCAGGGCGTCCCAAAGCGCCGAGGCCATTTTGTGCCCCGGGTTTTTAGAAAATCACCACTTGTACTATAAAACATCTCACCATAACAAGATAATACCAAATTACCCCCGCAGTTAAAAACTCAGAAACACACGCACGGCTACTGAGCCAAGCAATTAACTTGCAAACGTGCAACAAAACTTTGTCACCAGGGAGAAAAACAGACGTGCTGTCTGTGTGCCAGGCAATATTAATGAACCCCGTGCAGTCCAAAGAGGGGGAGGTGCAAGCCGTGGGACATTTTCGGTTTCGGGACTCAATCTGCTAATCGATCATCTTGACGCAGGTGGTGACAACCTGTCTTTTGGGAGGTGACGAGTGCGATGTCCAACAGGCCGTCACGCTGGAGTATGTGGCGGATCTGGTGTTGGGTTTGACTCTTAATGGGCCCCCGGGTCACATCGTGGTGCCATTTAAGGGTCCAGAGGTTGCAATCTGGTCTACCAGACACACAAAGCCCCGGCAGTAACCAGGGAGATGATTGTCAGTGGGCAGGGAGTCGTAGGTGTGTGTGTGTGTGTGTGTGTGTGTGTGTGTGTGCGTGCTGTGTGCGGATGGAGGGGGCTGTCGGTGGAGAAAAAGAACAGATTGACGGAGCGGAGAGGGAAATGCACTTTTCAAATGTCACCTTGCCTTGCCACCCTTTATGCGGCGAGAGAGAGAGGGGGATGGAAGAAGAGCACTAGGAGAAAATAGCTCGAGGAGAGAAGACAGAACGTGCCTTTTTTCACTTTCAGAGCTTCATGGCACATACCGAGTGGGAAATAAAACTCGTATTCTCATATTCGGTTTTCTATTTTACTCCCATTTTTTCAAGTTACAAAATTACAACCCTTTTTTTATATTTTCTGTGGGCAACAGGTTTACAACCTGAGAGTTTACTTGTACCTAGAAATCAGCAAAGGAGCTGTCCTGCTGTTCTTCAGCAAACAACAGGTGCAATGCTAGTCAGGATGAAGTTATTGAAGGTTTGCAGGTGGATTCATTTTTGCTTTAGTAGCCCCACTTCTAGGACAAAGCGCTTTTCACACCCTTCTACGCTCCACCTTTCCCCAATCATACATCCACCGTTGATGAAATAACGTACAGACAAGCAACCACAACAATTTGTTATGGTAAAGCTGTATACGGTACCGGTACAACACTAGCACATGTCCTTTTATTGCATGTGATATCCCTTTCAGTTTACGTGAGAATGAAACTCAAGATATTCAGTGGACCTATTTATATCCGGGTGGTGGACACCTCCTGCACAGAGAAACACCGGCCTGGTGCCGTCGATCCATACGCACTATTCAAAAGTTTATCTCTGATCACAGCTGAACGGTGCCGTGTGATGTGTGATATATCTGCTCTATGCCAGAAAGGGAGTTTGACACAGTCTCCACCCGCAATTCAAAAACACATCAATCAAATCAGTCAAAAATGTCAGAGAACTTCTACTTGTCATTGCGGGCTACTTTGCGGTGATTGATGGTCCGATGATCCTCTCCCTCCCCATCCCCTCTCTTACCCATGCATCAAGTTGCACACCATGCGAAAAATAACAAATGATAATGTTTTGAAAAATGATTCCCAATATCCTGAACCGGATAAACGATTCCCTTTGACTTAAAGTGAGCAAAACAGTGACAGACGGCGACGCAGAGAGAGATGCGCCGCATTGCTTCATATATTGACATTGAGGGAGATGCGCCGCATTGCTTCACATATTGACATTAATGGCTTGGAGAGGCTGTAAGACAATGTGCGTCAGCGTTTTGCGTTTGGATATTTGCCGCTGATGCTGAGGGCTGCAGTGGCCTCTATAGGCAGTGTGTGAATACAAAGACCCATTAAGCTGTGTCCTTAAGGGAAAGGTGTGAAAGGGAGGGGAGAGATTCAGGCTGCCAGCACCGACTAAATGCTTCTCTGGCCCAGCCGACTCAAACTGGCCTCAATGTGAATACCTCCGAGGCTTGTTTTCTCTTTCCCTTCCATTCCTCATCATTTATTTACCTTCACAAAATCTATTGAACTCTCTCTTCTTCCATCTGCCACTTTCTCAAATGTCACTCATCTTTCGCTCATCTTACTGCCGCCTTCCTCTGGTCTCCTGCTAACGTGATTTGTCCGTTTCGCTCAGTATTCACATGTGTCCGCTCTCTGGCGTTCTGTTCTGCATGCTGCTCTCAGCCCTTCCCTCCTTCCCTCCCTTGCTCCCTCCCTTGCTCCCTCGCGCAGAACGGTCAAATGACTTCATGAAACGAGCTGGATAGATGATGAGAGAGATTGCATTTCTAACGGTGTGACATGACGCATCGTCCCGGGCCCCTTTGATAAATTAATTTAAGCAGAGCACTTGCTCCGCGGTGAACCGTGCTAATTAAGCTCGGGAACCCAAACAGAGACGTCTCTGTAATTGAGGTGAGGTCAGAGGGACGGAGAGGCGCGTGGACTTGAGTGTGTATGTGTGTCAGAGAGGCTCGGCTGTGTGTGTTTGCGTGCCCGCTGGGAATTGACTTGATACTCTCTTTGGGAAGCCGGTAATGGTGGTCTTTCCCTCAGAGTATTTGCTTTGCGGCTTGAGACAGAAGGTTAGTGGATGACCTTGTTTCCAAAAGTGCAATGAGACTTGTCCCGTGCTTAGTAGCATGGTTCCCAACCCACTTCTGCCATTATAACTCTAGAGGGAATCTGTTTGAGGTCAGTGCAAAACTACCAAAAAGCAAGGGCAAACTCCTCATACTCAAATGACATATGGTCACATTGATTCCATCTATGCATTGGAATGGATCTGGAACAGTAGCCGTGCACTGACCGGTCCCTTGAATAAACACCATTGACTTGTTTAGCGCCAATGCAAGCAACCTCTACGGTTTAGCCCGCTGATATTATTGGCGTGTTTACAATAATGATTGGCTGTGCATCTGTCATTCCCAGGACATCCATATGTTCTTAATTGATCTGGGAATAATCAGTGAAATGCCTTTAGACAACAATATGCTCTCAGGTCATTGGAGACATTGGAGACGGATTGAGGGGGTTGAAGTGAGGATTGGAGGGGTGAAGACACCGGCTGCAGTACACACACATGCTTCAGTTTCTGTTAACAAGCATTTAAAACAATAGCATATCTACTTTCAATACAAAGTGGACTGTGATTTAATTTTGAAAGGATTTCCTGTTGACAATCAGATCATATTTGTAGAATTAGATTCCTCTGGTGGAGTTTGCAACTCATGGGATCCCACCATTTCTAGTTACTCCAGATTGGTGTCTTGTTACAAAAAAAGAAAAATCGATTGGAACAAAATATATGTAATTTCCCCAATCCCAAACGTATTTAAATCTAACGTCAGGTCAATCCATATTTGTTTTGTTATTAAGTCATTCAAAACATTTTCACTGCTGAAAAATGCATGCTTTTGGTTTATTTTGTTTTCCAATTTGGAAATAAAAATAGCTAGAGGTGTAGGTGCACCTGGCTTTTAAAGGGAAATCAGATGAAAATCACATCTGTTTAATCTCTGATACGCAAAGACACAAATCACATTTATTTAGACAATATGTTTGCAGTTACTGCCATATACCTAAAAAGCAATGTTGTGTGCTGGTGTTAAAGAAAGGAAATACAGGGACATATTGTATATTGTTGGTATTTTGATTAATTGATAAACTCAATATTACAAATATTGAGTCTATCAATAGTACTATTAACTAGTATTATAATGAGTATACAATCAGGATAGGCCTGCTCACAGCAGCCAACACACTTTTTTTTTTTAAATCAATGTCCTATTTCACAAAACCGTGAAAAACAGTGTTGTCCAGGTAACTCAAAGTGCACAATATCATTTGTCCAACTTGGGCTGGGGTCGTTTTTGAATAAACCCCCACTGGGAGGGCTCATGCATATTCAAGTGGGTTAGATTAAAGGTCGGTTGTCAAGAAGCAGTATGTGCCAACCAATACTGAACCTCCCATCAGTGACGTGTCACTAACCCTTTAATTGACTAATGGGTGGAGAACGTTGCAGATACCAGCTTATGCAAATGTTGGTGCATGTGCATGGACACTACACGTCAGCAACGGGCTGTAGTACTGACGACCACTGACAAATGTCAAAAGGTAAATCTGTGACATCTCTAAAAATAAACCGGCCATCGAGGCGCTGCCAAAATACAGCTGAACTGAAATTAATTTGTGCTTTTTTATAACCAGTTATTTTGTCATCTTGTCCAGACAGATTTAAACACGCCTTTCAATGACTGCTACTCTTTTTCCCCATCTGCCTGGACCCATCGCCCTTATCTACAGTGGTGAACAGGACACAGAGCAATGAGTGGAGACACTTCTCCACCTGTCGTGACTTTGAGAACATCTGTAATTGTGACTGTCTCACTGCCTTCTGTGTCGCTACACCTCTGTAAAAGACAACCAGCAAGCTCCGTCTTTCTATACGCCAAAGTAAATGATATGGCTTTGTGTTTGAATGTGGGGGAGTGACTGGGGGGGCTGGATGGATCTGCCTAGGTGCATGCGAGCGGAATATCGCTCACATCTCAAATCTCCTCTTAATCTCGTTATAATTGCCTGGTGAGCTGCTGCGCTTTCCTCCTCCCTAATACCTCTTTCTCCATCTGACATTGCTACTTCACATTCACCTTCACAATAGTAGAACATTTCAGTTAATAAAGCAGACCGCACTCTTAACAAAACACAAGATAAGCCATTGTACTTTCTTCCTTTGCTTGGGTAAAAAGAGCATTGCTTTTTATTGGGAGAAAAGGGATAATGTTCTATGAACCACATAAAACATATATATTGAGAATACAATAATACTAAGTCAACATAAATATAAGTGTGTATATTTTTTTTAGTCATCCAGTTTCCACTCCCAACACGTCAGATACTGCAACTTTGTCGGTGTTCCTACTCGTCAAACTATGACTCTCTACTTGCAGATGTTGTGGTGTAAGTGAAGGAGGAGGTCAGATTACGTAGATGGGTCAAATAACAAAAGTTGTTTGTTTCCCATGTGAAACCTAAAGTCAATTTTGACTTATTCTAAGCTAAGTTAACATATCTACGTCATTTAGATAATGCAGTCTAGTAAATTACCACAACATACTTATTTGAACCCGAAACACACAACCTTTTTTTTATGTGACAAAAGGATTCGACACATGGAAAACTAGGGCTATCTAGCGTAACAGTTTGACGTTACTGTGTTTGATGAGACTGGGTAAGTTTTATTATATGACTTTCCTCCTTGAAGCAGTCCTTTGAGAAGCACATCTTCTCGGCCTCCGGCCATCTACCTCAGGCACAGACGGGCAAAGGGCCTTCGGCACCTCTCCACCCCTGCAGCCTCTGCAAACAATGACAAGAGTCGGTTTATTCAGCATGACTGCAGTCGGAAAGGCCAGCCAGATTTGGGAAAGGCTAAACATCAATGAGCCATGGGGAGCAGTCTCAGACCCTGGAGAACACGTGCTCCACCTCGGCCAGCATTGGCCCAGTTCATCCAGCGCCACAGCTTTCACCTCAACAACCGCGTGTGTTGTCCAGCGCCAAACTTTGCTCTTGACTAACTATTAATCTCATTTGTTCCATTTTTGGTATGCAATACACAAAGGTTATTATACTTGTTGTTATTATAGTGGGATCATATCCCATGCAATCTACTAAAAGAAGAGACGGGGAGAGTAGAAACACAGGAGATAGGCAGAAGTAAAAATACAACCAGAGAGGGAGTATTACACATGAACTCAGGCAAACGCATGCGAAAAGAGGAGACACACAGGTACACAATCTTTGCTGTGGCCAGTAATAGGCTTTGTACCACGGGGAAAGTGTTGTTTCACAGAGATTATGAGGTACATAGGGGCCCGTGATCCCATCAGGACCTTAGGCATGAAGGCTGGAGTCAGTCAAGTCACTAACACCTACACAAAGCCTTGGGGAGCGCACACCAAATTATATTTGCCACATTTAATCTTTGAGCAGGGCCTTGAGATGCATGTGTTTCATGGAAAATAATGGGAAAATGGGGGAAACAATAAAATTGAGGAGATTAGGCTTACACTCCAGCCTCATCTACATTCTGGTCCCACCAGACCTATAGCCCTTTCATCTTGATGTTACCTTTAAGTGGAAACCTTGTTTCCCGGGTACCAAAAGACATTCCTAATTCAAACCCCTCAGGGGTGGACGACACTCAATTCAATGAAAAAATTGCATTTTATATTCATAATATTGAACGTGCTGCACACATATCCAAAACCATCTTCTGAAACGTAGAAAAAATAACATTTACTTCCAGTCACTGAATGAAAGTTTGTATTTACTAGATAGTCAAACTGCTCACAAGGATCAAATTCAGTTTCAAACCAAGAGTGTGTGGATTGGGAGGCCATAATGTATTATTTTAAGCTACATCTCTATATCTGTATTTGCAGGGGCCAAACATCTAATAATGCCAAAATTAGCTTAATCATGCCGAGCCAATCTGTAATATCACTGCTTAATTCAATCTATAAGAAGTCAGTCTTTGGCACTATTCAGAAACTAACCAGATGGCAAAGCAGCCATGAGTGCGTGACTGCTTGAATGATGAAAATAATCATTTTCCAAAAGCGACCGCAGGGCGGTTTTAAACATACTGTATAATGCATTGACGGTTCTATGCCTATTGTATTGAAAGGTGTATTTTACTCGTATCATATTAAAAAAGGTTTTCCTTTAAAGCCTGTAAAAACCGGAACATGCTTCAGCATGTGTGGCGGTGGAGGGCGGACCACCGTCTCCATGTGTCCCCTCCATCTGCTGTCTCGTGAATCATTGTCCGCAGGCCGTGATCCCGCCCCATTATATGTGGGGTTTCTGGACGCAGTGAGGAGGGGTGGGTCAACATACATGTCACACTAATGGACATGGGGCCCACGGCTGTGATGGTGTGTGTCTGATTTTCTTAATGCATGGATGGATGGATGAATGAACGCATACGTAACTGCAGGCACCGTTATTGACAGTTGGTCTCCCAGAATAGGCGGTGACCTCCATTTTTTTTTCTTCTGACAGACAGATGGACACAGCAACACCGGCAGCTATGCAGACATTTTCCACAACGCGCAGCAGAGGTCATTAACTGGGACCGCGATCCACGACGGCGGCCTTTACTGTCGGAACAGCGATCCCCAATCCTGTCCAGGCTGCGTATGGCTGTGTCAATAAGACGGAATGAACCGTTTCAGTGGTCATTACACAGAAGCCGACGGGTCAGTGGCTTTTGTAAAAGATCGAGGGAAGCTGTGGGGGAGACTGAGGGACGGAGGGCGGCAGACATATTGCCATAGTCTGTAATTACAGGGCAGTGTCCACTCAGTCATGCAATTGGTCACTTGGCAAATGTGTGCAACTGCAGACAAAGCGGTGTTTTTGTCTGTTGCCTTGCGATTTTATGGATGTTTGTGGCTTCCACCTTTTTCTGCTGCTTGCCAAAGCCCGTGAAAAATGAAGGGCTTTTTGGTCTACAATAAAATGTATTTAACAGTGTTAAATTATTCCAGGCCTACGGTAGTTTAAAATTATAGTGCTATAAAATACATCATACATTAAGGTTCCTTACAGTAACTTTGATTTCCCTACTTTAACTTAGGATATCAATTTGTCTAACACTTTTGGCTCCTTGTGACTAATGTCATATTATCAAAGTGAGGAGCCCGACGTCTGGCGCTTACCAATCAGCATGCCCGTCAGCCGCCTGCATTTCCATTTGTTCATCAGATCCTTTCCTCAACAGTTGTTGGCGGCGCTTCGAATTTGATTGCAGCCTCTCAGCACACCGTTTTTTACGCGTTTATTCCAGCTGTTCCAATCCGTTACGCAGCTGGTCCTTGTCTGTTTGTGTAAGGTGTGCCTGTGCCTCCCGGTGTTCATCTCAGTTGGTGTGTATACGACGAAGCAGCGAAAAGACAGAAACAGACAGAAAGTGAGCGCAGCATTCGCTCTTAGCGACAGAACAGGGAACAACAAGAATAACAGAACACATGGCTGCTTGAGCTGTAGATAGCAATTAGCAAACGGGCTGTGAAGTACATCAACAATGGCATCGCTCCCTAAAAGCTCACTGCGTCGCTTTTTTTTTTTTAAAGTAACATAGTTGGGACGGAGCGGCGTATCAGTTGACAAACAAACAAGACGGGGCCACGGCTCCGCTTATAGTGAAAATTAAGCCGCCCCCGGAGCCTTGAAGAGGCGCTCGGGGAGAAAGAAAACACCTTGAGAAGAATATTGAAGCACTCTCACAGTGCAGAAATGCAAAAGCTGACTAATGGCATTACACGGTTGCACTGCGGCAGGCACAGAATGGGAACAGCCGATGAAAAACAAACTTACCTCATGGGACGCAGGCTTGTAAACAAGCTTTGTGTGACTGAGCGTGTGCCTCTTAACCGGCGGTGCGGGTGTGGATTGTGATTTACATACATTGTGGGGAAGAAAAAAAAAAAAAGAGGGACAAATAAATTGGGCGTCGGATGGGCTTCAGCTGCTGCCATTTGGCTATTTTTGGCTGAAGTATCTCAAGTAGTGGACCAGACCATTTATGCTTGGTATGACCATTACTGATACTCGTAGTTGTTGCTGCTAAGGGAATTCACCCGACAGTTATGGCTGTTTTCCATGAGTGCAGCACGGTTGCTATGGTTTATTTTTATACCCTCTAATGCGTATTGAGATTCGGATCAACTTTCTGTGCTTCTTAAATGACATACAAACATGAAATCCTTATTATTTTAAACGTGTAGAGCCAAACAATGCAAATCATTGCCAAGGTTTTTAAATAAAGCTTCATTCTGCGTGCTTCGCATTCTTAACTGTGGCCAAGAGCCCTTTTTTTCAGGCGGCTCGCTGCCCCTCAAAATCTTTGTGACGCCCCGATGCAGAACGCTCACGGTAAAGCAATATTGCAGCTGTACAAAGAAATCTCAAACTTGTCTTTTCATATGGCGAGTGAGTTTTATCAGGTCCTAAAAACCAATTAAAATGAACTATACAAGCTCAAATCAGCATGCGTGTCCGGGGGAAAGCCAGACACTTTTCCTCACCGTGAAACAATTTCATTCAACAAAAGCAGTCTATCAACTTTCGGCAGCATATCCTCTGAATCGTTATAATTTCCCTTGCAATCCCTTGTTACTACATGTTAAAATCACGTGTGGTTTTAAAGCAGCTCATGATAGCTGGCCATATCTTTAGTCTCAAGAGAAATTTACCACATTTTGTTACTTTCCGAGATCTTAAACATATAATGAATTTAATTTCCTTGTCAGGATCTTTTTATTCTTTGTAATTAATGACAAACCTCGTTCACTGTAAGAAGGGAAGCGTCGTCTTCTATCAAGTCATTGTTAGAATTACAGTTACTTCAGGCACACCAACAGAGAGGCACAATGATAAAGAATCCAAAGCGCACAAGATAACCTAATTGAAAAATGTTTTAACTTTGTATGCATATAATTTAATTGTTTCTGGAGAGTGGTTTGCTTTAGTTCCGTCTGGTCTAATGAGATACACACACAAAAATGATTAACATCGCTTGCTTTACAAGCCCACTGAGCTTTTTATGAATTCATTTCACACAAAACCTCTCTCATTCAAAGTTGCCAATGACAATCATTAATGAAAAAAATATTGCCAACAATGTTATCTTGACCTTGACTCCTGCCAGTTTTTCTCGGTAAAAATATATAAATCCCTAACCTAAATATAATATTCTCACACACAATCATTCTTTCAATACAGCCGGGAAACAAGCCAAACGCAATCATGACAATTAGATACAATTAACTCGGTTTATGGATTTATCCAGTATTTGATTTATTGATTGAATCAGTCCTACTTCTAGTAAAAGGTGATAATTAAAAGTGGTCCGAGTAATCTGGGGCAAGTTAAAAGCCTCAACACCCGGCACTGTGCGGCTTAATAGGTACTCTGCCATTTATATGATTAACAACCAACCAAGCTTTGCCATCTAAAAAGCCCTCTTTACTCCTGGCCTTTCGTTCGATCAGAAGGTGCTCTGGACTCTAATAAAGAGAAAATGTGTTGATACAATAGCCTCATGTATTTCCAGAGATCACATTTTTTGTCAGCCTATTCGCTGATTATCAATTAATTTCATTGCCACGTGGCCTTTGGGGCATGGAGGCAATGTACTGTGTCATGGTGATATGTGCTTGTTTGTAATTCTGTTGATGGACAAAATCAAATCATTTTTGGACTACCATTAGGCACACAAAGCAATGAGAGTAGCAATTTAGAAAAATAAAAAAATGTTAATAGGTAAAGAGGTCATGTCCAAATATTATTTCTTTTAAGCGCAATTGACAGTGGGGAGGTAAGAATAACTCCAGGATGCTGCGTTCGACTGCAATAGTTCTAGCAAGATCGACCTAATACATATCAGAATCATTTTGATAACATATATGCTTTACTATTGAAATATATTAGGACTAAACGATTCTCTACAGTGGACATTTTTATTGTGTATATTTAGAAATAGTTTAATGATGTCTGCGGTTCTCTAAAATAAAGTGGCTAGAGGACCATAGTGCCCAGTGTATATTATTACTTCCCAGGAAGTAATAATATGCAAAACTGCAAGAGCACCTTAAACCGCAATCCTATTTTCTGTTGATATACTGCTGCTGTGATAGAAATATTATATTATTTGGTGTAACATTCACGGCTACGGTGGTTGGCTGACTTTGTAATTAAGGCTTAATTAACTGGAGATTGAGTAATGTGTCACAGCGGTGATGTGTGTGGGTGTACGGGGTATCCAGTAGATATCATTAACTCAAAATATCTTCATCTAAATGTGATGCGAGGCCGAAATCTGATGCCTTTGTTTACGCCGCTTCTCCCAAACACAATCAAAACAAAACCCACAGTTGATCACTCACTTTCCTGCAGACCACTATACAGTACAATCACCATTCTGCAGTCTTTGTGGACTTGACTAGTCTCGTGGAGGAGGGGTGGGGGTTGGATTGCTATACTTATCAGCCCGACCACGTCCGCCTACTCGACCGTCCCTGCGTGTTTCGCCATTCTTCTGCAATGCAAAGCACTGCGACGGTAAATCAACTTCAATCAGTCACGCTTTCCCGCCGCTACAGAGGCTACACCTCTCGGTTTTGATGAACACGGACTTGGCCGTGTGATTTGGGAGTAAAGAGCCACGTTCTTGAGCCTTGGACTGCGCCCAGCTGTCAGGTTTCCATCAAAAGGTGGAGAAATGTGAGCACACACATGCGCCGCTTATCACTTCTCATGAGGAACGGCAGCAAATTGGATTTTCCACATTATCATAAATGAGCTGATTTTTGGGCTGTTGCACTCGCGACAATTTTCTCAACCTGAATTGATATTCGTGTGTGTGTCTATTTACAGTTTGCCTTTTTGGATTAGTATGACCGTGTGCGTGTGAAGTAGCTGTCGTGTGTCAGCTGTTGATAATGGTATAACCCATTTCCTCCAACTATAGATGAGGCCTTGGTGACTAAAGAACTCCAATTGCCAAGACCTTTCCTTATCTCTTTATTCTCAACCCACTCGTGCCGTCAACAATCATCAGACCTTAATGAATTCACCCCCCATTATTTGCCTGGTTTAATGACCTGAGACCAAGGCTCTCTCAATAAACGAACCGGCCCTGGGACAGTCCCACTTACAAAAGCAATTACAAATAGATTCATTTTCCATATTACCTCCCACTCCTTTTCTCTATCCAAGCAATAAAACTACAGCCCTACAATGGATGAGTTATGGGTGCAGTGTACTGCACAGGAAATAAGACGGTAGACTCAGTAGATTGCCAGTACATATAAAGAAATACAGGCAATTTGCAGGAACAGGGTTAAATTGGGATAAATCCAAAGTGGCATGACAAACATGTTTTGATTTGTTCCTGTCAAAGGTTTTGAAATAATAATTTGTCATCAAGGGTTAATATAACTGAGGCTGACTTTAATGTCAGAATAAAAGAGTCCCAAAGAGTCTCACTTTCATTGGAATCTGTGCTGCCTGGTAATAATGGTCTGAGTAAACTTTCCATTCCAAAGTGCATTTTCATTTCTTTGTTAGAATGTATTTGTATTATGGTTGAACTCAGAATATATTCTTGCCTTGCTGGCACAATAATGTTTATTAAATGTGTGTGTTTGTATCTACCAATCGCACATGGAGGGGATGGTTTTCTTGTGAAAGGGTTTAAAAAAGGGTTTTTTTCCAGATGAAACGTTTCCTTTACAGAGACGTCAAATCCCACAATCAATATTTCCTCTTGGTTGATAAAGGGATGAAAAAAGAAAAGGGCTCATATTGCAGAATAATAGCAGAAGAAAAAAAGAAGGGGACCAAAGGAAGTAATGATGGTGAGCAAGGGAACAGACTGAGCAATAAGGAAGCAAAATGATGGAAAGGGGGACGGAAAGATATAAATTGGACAATGGTGGGGGAAGAAACAGAGCGGTGAGCCGGTGAGGAATATGGGAAAAGACAGAAAGAGAGACTGTGAAGAAGCAGCGGCGGAAAAAGAGGGAGTGGAGATTAGCCACAGAGCTGGAGTGGAGCAAGAGGGCTGCTCATAATGGATTGATTCTCACATTTCTTTGAGGGCCTGTTCTTCCTGTCTCCTTCCAGATGAATGGTAATTGCCCCGCCGGCTTTAATCATGTGTTGAATTGGCAAAAAAACAGGGGGAAAGCGCTTCTACGGCAATTGAGAATCGATCGCTCTGGAAGTCGACCTATTGCTACTTCGCTTTATCTTCCAACACACAAGCACACACTTCTTTCACACAGACACATGCAGGGACTAACGTGTGCACACCCATGTCAGAGCAACTGACAGACGCACTAATTACAGTGATGGCTAGGTGGGGAACAGGACCAAAATGTCAGATGTGGTGAGGACAGGGGAAAATATGGGGGTGGTGAGACAGTGGTGCTCAGGCTGCCATATTGGCCTCAGAGTGTCAGCTTGTGGCAGCAGACTGAGAGGAGAGATAATTGTTTTGTCAAGAGTGCGATTGCCATCCCTTCCCTTACTCTCGGCGTACAAATCACCTTTTAACATTTGTCTCTCATTTACCCTTCGTGGTTGCTGTCTGTCAAATGTTACACACAAAGTAGACCCAGTGTGTCAGACCAATAGGAGGCTTTCAACAGAGCGGGAACAGCTTGATTTGTTTTCACTAATGTGCAACAAATACCATTTTTTTAAAACATACTGTAGATATGTACTGAGGATTGAACGAAAGAAAGAAAAAAATCTTCAAATGGTTCTATGAATTACTACTAATAAAGGAAATGGAGAAACCTTGGTTTGGGACATGGCCAGCTTTTGGGGCAATGTGCCAACCGCACAGACACTAGTTGCATTTCATGGTTGCTCAGCTATAACAGTAACATGAATATTCTTCGGTTAGCCTTTGATAGTTTTGCTTGCAGCATGAATGTTAA